CCTCCTTGCCACGGTGAGAAGTGCCCTCCTCCCCACCATGGCGAGAAGCACCCTCCTCCTCCTCCTTGCCACGGCGAGAAGTGCCCTCCTCCTTGCCATGGTGAGAAGTGCCCTCCCCCTCCTTGCCACGGTGAGAAGTGCCCTCCTCCCCACCATGGCGAGAAGCACCCTCCTCCTCCTCCTTGCCACGGTGAGAAGTGCCCTCCTCCCCCTTACCCTCCTGTGAAGGAGTCTTACTGCAAGGGCCCTGAGTGTGAGGCCAAGTGCCACCCCGAGAAGTGCACCTACGTGCCCGAGGGTCACCCTCATCCTGCCTGCGGCACTGGCGAGAAGTGCCTGCCTCCTTGCCACTCTAGCTGCCCGCCCCGCGAGAAGCCCTCCACCGCTGTCCACACTCCTTCTCCCCCGCAGAAGCTGGTCCCCCCTACCACTATCGCCACTCCGGTTCCCCCTAAGACCAATGAGTACGAAACCCCCAAGGGCGAGAACAAGGTCCCTATCATCAGCGGTGCCTCCAAGACCAGCCAGACTGGCGTCTACCTCAGCATGGCCGCCGCCTTTGCTGCCATGCTCTGGCTCTAAAGCACTAATTTTTGGGATTTGAGGCGTCTGGAAAAGGAAAACGGAACCAGAGGGAATGCAAATCAACGGAAGCAGGGGACGGATGGGGATAATTGATTGTTCAGGAGAGGTTTTGGATGCAGTAATATTTTCTTGTACTCACAGATTTGTGCCTTAGTTTTGACCGAAATAAAAATGTTTGCTTGATCCTACCATTAAGTGTCCTCAATTTGTTGGTGCATCTGTCAAAGGAACATATCGAACTCCAAACAGTCGCCGCTCTTTGATCTGCCCCTGATCATCCTTTTCGATTCTCCACACCGATTGACTGATCCCCAATGTGTCGTCGTCTACCGGGATAAACATACTATGCATGCTGATTAGTTTTGATATTCAATAGATATCGTGTTGAACTTACCATCCTGGTGCTTTGAGCTGGCTGAGAAGCTCTGGATGGACCTCCTTCGCCGATGCGCCGACGTGGATCACATCCCAGCCACTCTCCCCTTCCTCCACCCAACCCTTCCTCCCATCCCCAACTCTGTACCGAATCACTCCGTTGTCGACCAACTCTGAACCTCTAGAACTCTTCCGAGTGTTTCTTTCACCAAGATCTCGAAGCTCTTTGATGTGTTCCAACCCTACTACCACCCCCTCGCCACCAATCATCTCGGCCAACACATGCGTCAAGTACCCAGAGCCAGAGCCAACATCAAGAATCCTCCGAGGAGAAGAGCTTGGGGTAAGATATGGTAAGACATTCTCAATAGCTGAGGCGTGCATGTGAGGAGCAGAGATGGTAGCCGCGTGCCCAATCGGCTGAGGTGAGTCCTCATACGGCATCGCCGGAGCGTAGTGAGCCCGGTCAACCTGCGTTGAATCAAGCCATTGTTAATCCTGTTGCATTCGCCTGATGGAGGAGTATAGAAATGATCATTTTAGATTTCTTACCTTTAGGAAGGCTTCCTTGACTCCTTGGTCGTGGATGAGCTGGTTCCTCCATAAGTTTTCAATCAGCTCCGAGTTGGATGTCCCAGAACATCGCCAGGCCATGTTGGAGATCGATCGGCGTCGGAAAGGCAACAATAAATTCAACGCAGGGTTTCTGAGTTGATGCGTGATGATATTGTTCCAGGCAGGTCCCATGAACAACAGGCAGTCAATTGTGGTTGTAGGTCATAAATGGCTGAGGATTCAATGAAGGAGCCGCGTCAATCAGTTTGGCATGTGCCCTCTCAGCAGGTGCCCCGGAGTGGCGAAGAAGTTTGATTGGTGTGAGAATGTTCCTGATGATGTCGGACGACCATCATAGAAGCCGCCACGGAACCCTGCTTGCGTGCTGCTAATGCGGGGTGGAAGATCATGTGTCACAGTAGGCGCTTGACGGACAGCGCACATTCCACCAAACCATAGTTGACTCTTCCCATCCTGGGAATCGCTCACTCTCACCGTGTACTTTGTATACGGCGATACCTTGGATTTACTTGGTGCTCTATGGGATGCTTTAATAAGGAGGCTACTGAAACTGGCAGTGATGGATGCGAAATGCTGTTCGGAACATAGGTCGATAAGAAAGTATCTATCCTGGCTATGAGGGTATCTGGACTCTCCAATGGCAGTTGCAATTCTTGCTAGCAAAGAAAACCGGAAAGAAGATATCAGAAGATAAAAAAAGAAATAGGGAGTCAAAAGTAGAATCCAACAGCAATTCCCTGTGCGTCCGTCAAGAGGTTAACTCCCTTCGAAGTGTTCATTAGAACATGACCGCGAGTTTACAGCAAAAGATTACCGCATTTCTCCCGTTCATGATGTGGTCCGTGTATACCAATGATCGAAGATGTGCTCTTCGCCCGCGAATAATTCCCTCCCAAAGCAAAACAATAATATGCTTAACCCAGAAACGCCAAATCTGAAAGTAAGGAAATCTCGTCGAGAATAGTGGCTCGTAAAGGAGCTACAGATAATGTGATGTTGTACAGACCCAGGAAATAAATGTGCAAAATCATATAAGCCACATGGCTGTCTTAATTTGACTTTTGTCTTTCTCTTGCTTGTTGCTCTCATACCGCTCGCTCGGATGACTCGCCATCAGCAATAATCGGAATGCCCAGCCCACGATCAGGGCTCTGGAGAACCAACATCTCATGTCTCCTCGCCTTCATGAATTCAGCAATGCTCTTAATCAAAATGAACCACCCAACAACCATGAGAACATATGCCATCCATTCGCTCCCGGTGATGTCCCCAAGCCCACGCCCTCGGCCTTCTGTGACTTCTTGTGCCTGGAAGTTGTGCGAGTTCGGGTCTGGGGGCGCAGCGTATCCGTCAGGACCGCCCATGTTGGGTGCATCGCCGGGGCCGCTCTTAATCTTAAAGCCGTACTGGATGAGTGTGACGCCAAGGCCCGCAAGTGATCCGTTCTTGGCTGCGTGTGTCGAGTGGAGGAGGTACGTGAGGAGGAAACCGACCAGCTGGAACGCGGCTGAAATGATACCGTTCCAAATAAACGAGAAGACGGAGCCAACAGGGAGGCCATCAACAAAGACTTCGTCGAATCCGCCCAGCCCTGGTGCTAGGATTGTGGTTTCCCAGTAAGGAGGGACTGCATCGGCGGCGGCTTGTTCGTATGTCTAACAAATTCAATAGTTAGTGAATAATTCCCAATAATAATACTAGAGACGGCGTAACTCACGGGTGGTTGCTCATCCTTTTCTGATTCCGTTCTCTCGGGTCTGGCCGACATATTGGCAAACACTCCATCTGTTCCCGACCCCCCGCCTACAATTCTTGGTGATCTGATCACCGGTGCTGCTGAAGGCTGTGCTAAACTGTGACCTGTGCGGGATTGCGAACCAGAAGCTTGCGCCGCGACGCTTGGGGTGGAGTTCTGTCGCACGAGGCGTTGTCGGTCATCAGCCTCGTCGTCGCTATCGTCATCATCAAATGCATCTGCAAGTGCTGCGTCGACAGTGCCATTGCGTCGGTTCGGGGACGAGGAGCGGGAGTGAAATGAGGGTGGCGGAGAGTGAGGGACATGCGGCTGTCCAAGACGATTGTTCGAGGGGGCTTCGACTGGGGATCGTAAGAGCGTCTCTTCGTCGTACTCCTCCTCGTGGACATTGACCTGGTGCGGGATTAGTATCGTCAGGCAAGAATCACGGGCATGTCCACATACCATCTTGTATCCGGGAGCCATGGTGACGGCCTTTTGGTCCTCGTTGTTAGAGACGGAGCGATTGAAGGACGGAGAGATCAGGCAGTGCGGTATGGTCGCGGGAGTATACGTAATGTCACACTAGCCGGCTACCCCGGATAATCGACCGTAAGGGGCACCTCTGCTGGAAGCAAGGACAGAACGGATATAAAGGAGAGAGCGTGTAGGAGGATAAGTAATAAAGAGAGGTATATCGCCTCCTGAGAAGAGGATATAATCGCGAATGGTCGATAAAGGAAGGGGATGACAACGAATGGAACGTACCCGGCGGAGCGCTGGGCTGTGTCGTGATAACGCCCCGTGACTAAAGTGTCTCTGGTATGGAACCATCTGGTCCCCGTCTTACGCTCCTGCCTGAGGCATAAGGTCAAGGATGGGACCCACTTAGCCACTCTCCACTCAGGCGGCGGGACAAAGTAGATTTCGGAGGCTAAAGCCTCCGATCGCCGAAGTAATAATGTCTTTTGGTCTGTGGTTAATCGATCTGTCATTGAGCCCCATGCCATTGGCTAGCGTATGGTCCACGATAATCTGATTTTGGGTCTCGTCCATTCGAGGAACAAACCGTTTGCTTGATCGCGCCAAATATTCTCTTGCCTGGTCAACCGACGCTGTACCACACATAATGTCGCGCCCTTTATCAGTAAGCCAATGGCCCTCCTCGGCTCCGTGTCGCAAATGCCATGCTAACTGGACCAGCACCGGATCTACACAGAAGTCCTATCCAAGTGGCCGAAGCAGGAGCTTCGTCCCGACTACCAGCTCCAAGATGTAATTCGCGCGACTATAGATAAGCGATTCCAGGCCTACCAACCCTCAATGGAGGCCGAAGAGCTCTTCAAGGCACGATCACTACAGTTTCTGCAGCAAAATCGGTGGAACGAGAAGGCATGTTCTCTGAAGACAAGAGCCCTCTGCTTTTGGCTAACACCTTGTAGTACAAGTTATCGGGCCAGATGCTGAAGCCAACCAGCCAGCCGACATATTTCGACGACCTGATCCGCGAAATCGAAGAAGCCCCAAAGAGAACTTGGTTCGAGCGTCTAGGAAAGAGACTTTCAGGCATGATCAGACTATCTTAAAAACGATTTTAACGAAACCAAGAGGGAGCGCGAGAAGAAGAAAAAATCTACAAGGGTCGCAGACAGAGGGTGTAATACTTGGGCACATATTATTCATGATTGACGCCACGACACATCACGGTGGGATTATTATCGGGGGACAAGGGAAACGAACGTTTAACAATAGTGTATATCAGTGTACGATTATCTGTACAAAATCGAGCCAAAAGAAGCTCCTGTCTATATTCAACGCAACGCCTGTATGTTCCTTGTGGTGTGCATGTCTAGATGTACTTCATCTCCGGGTCCAGCCTGTTCATCAACTCCATACTCTTTTCGTACATGGTGAATACGATACCGCCGCTCATCACCAACCTGGCAAGCCTAGGTAGTGCGCCGCTCCAGAATGTGAGCACACCCTCATTCTTGAAGATGGACACCGCACACTTGATCGTGCTCCCATAAAGCTGCTTGGCTTCAATGCTCTGCATTCGCGTCTTAATGGTGTCGAGGGGTTGGGTGACGGCAACGGTGACAGTACCTGCCATACCGCCGATGGTGAAAGTAGATATAGTTCCGAGCTTCTCTCCTGGAGCTATCCATGATTCGGCGAGCTGGCGAAGCGTGGTGTAGGTACTGAACCGAACAGCGGAGTTGGCTGACTGGCGAAGGGTCGTAGGGACAAAGCCCTGGAAGAATCCGGCAATACCTCTTTCGCGAGCGATGATGGGGACGGCATGGAGGAAGCCGCGCATTCGTGGTTTGGCCGACTTTCGGTCATCAATGCTACGAAAGCTGTTAGCATCAATAATTCGGGCGCAAAGGGATGTCAAAATCTCCGTACAGCGTTGTCTTGATGCTCTCTGTCGGCGTCACAGCAAGCAGAGACTCTGTCACACCAGCACCGAAGCCGGCGATCACAGTTCGGGGACCGCTAAGTTTTCCATCGGAGTCGGCAAGCATTCGCTTGTACTGATCAAATGCGACGAATCCTGGATCAAGCGTTAGCGTGTTCAAAGAGTATTTAATTGCACAGTCTGGCTGCGATAGGTGTCACATACGAATGCCGGCCTTGGCAGAATTTCCAATGATCAGTGTCGTACATCCCGCATACCATTGCTTGCCAAACGGTGGCCATGGGAGCTTCTGGCCCTCGGCTAACCTGGTATTGAGCTGGGAACGAGTCTTGGCGACTTTCGGGGTGTTAGTTGATCGTTGCGCTTGTATCTGCGGCAATTTGCTATGGCAAGGAAAATCGAGACGCACATTCGGCAGGGTAGGTAATGGCTGCATTGGGTGGAAGAAGTGGTGGTTAGCTGCTTGATCCGATGACCTCGGTCAGGATGTCGTGTGCCAACTTACCAATCTCAACTGCGCCAGCGGTTGACCCAGCGAGAATAGAGCGGAAGGCACTGGGGGTCTTCTTTTTCTGACCCTCAGGGGAATCTTTGGAGGCCGCGGTCGCCATTGTCGCTAGAAACTAATATCTAACGACGGAAGTTGAATACTTGCTTGAGATTGACAGCCCCTCCAATCTTTCACAAGCCGAGAGAGCTGCGCTTAGAAAGTCGTCAGAAATCATCGCATTAGCTTCGCTTACCCTGTAGTAGTTTCACTTTTTTGTGGAGACTCTAGATCCGAAGTCGCATCTCGTCCGAGCACAGAGCCAAATAGGTAGAACGCAATTATCATGATGGGAAAACTCTGGGTGCACGAGGGAAAATCCCATTTCGCTTCAAGATAAGGACCGGAGAAAATGCATGGCTGCGGTTGGCCTTAAAAAAATGCAGAGAGGTCGAGTTTGGCCACGTCCCGTCTTCTGTCTCACAACTGACATCGCGACACTGCCTAAACCGCGATGCGGCTCAGTGCAAAGCTACTTAATTTCCCATCAATCTCGGCATATCTCATAATTATATTTCTCACATGAAGGAAGATTCACGCGCCATTCCTCCCAGCATTTATCAGAATTACTTTGGGTACGACTCCAATATACTCACACTCAGGCGTGCTCCCCGGCCCAGCGTCCTACCCATTGTCGCTTAGGTCTAACTAATGTATCTATTGAAAGGCAAACCAAAATTCCAATGGTGGGCATAGGCCGTAGTGATGTTGGTGTTGACGAAGCTTATTCTGTTTGTTAATCTCACCTGACTGAATTCACTAACCTCGCTTGTCCCAAACACGCGGGCAAGTGTAGGAAAATAGGGTAAAGTATATAATGAGAAGAGCCAAAGATTTACGAGAAGCTAGATAAGATGTGTTGTTCACTCCTATCTAGTCTCGCGATATGCATGTAGAAACCTTACCGCAGGTAAGATTCAGCTACTTGAGCCATGCTAGCAGCTATTATAGAATGATAAAAAAAGATGAGACAAGAACGTGCTTTTAATTTATAGCTTGGTAGTAATTCATACTCGAGCTCTTGTACGATAAAATATTCTTAATAAGGTTACTCCTCTACGAGTCAGCAACCCATGCCAAACAAGGAATAACAATATCCAACAAAGAAGTTCGTTTGTTGGAAATTCTAAATGGAGAAAACAGATGTCGAAAGAGATGTCGGTTATACAGAAGATGACTTGTTGGAGGCCAGAGAGGCGGCATCCAGCATGTCACTTGAAGAGGTGACCAAAGTGATGAAAAGTGTGGTCAAGGTCCACGAACATGACCCTAACTTCCCGCATAGCCTGCTGATCCGAATTGACGCATTTCTAGGTAAGTCATAGCCGTCTTTAAGAAATTGTTTGCTTGCGTGATACTTACTTGTGTTCTCAATTTAGAAAATAGTGAGGTTCTGGAACACCCGGAAAGACATAGTGATCTCGTCGCGGAGATGAAAGTTGAAGCTGCACTTATACTGAATAATAGCCCTTACGCTTCGGTTCGCTCTGCTGTCGACAATAAAGACGATCCTTCCATTCCTTGTTCGACAATCCGGGCCTGGGTGATCGGGACTGTATTCTCATTTATAATGTCAGCTGTGAACCAGTTCTTCAGTATTCGGCAGCCCCGTGTATCCATCCCATCCAATGTTGCCCAGCTGCTAGCGTATCCAATTGGTAAGTCCTACCTGCACTTTCATAAGGCTGTATTGACCCCTATCCATCGGTGAAGTGGCTGATAGGTACTGGCAGGCAAGGCCTGGGAAAAGACCGTTCCTACTTATGAAATTTCCCTCTGGGGTCAAAAGATCAACTTGAACCCCGGTAAATTTTCCAAGAAAGAGCACATGCTCATTGCCATTATGGCTAGTACTTCCATGTCTCTGCCAATCTCCAGTCTAGTTGCCTGGACACAAATCCTTCCTCAACAGTTTAATCAGCAATATGCCCGCAGTTTTGGCTATCGAATCTGCCTCGGGATCTCCACCAACTTCATCGGATACGGGTTAGCCGGAATGACGAGAGAGTTTCTCGTGTATCCAGCGTACTGTATTTGGCCAGCCAGCATCACCACAATTTCACTAAACAGCGCTTTGCATGAGAGAGAAGGCAAGGCTGTCCCGGGACCATTTGGAAGGATATACCACATGTCGAGATATCATTTCTTCCTCTTGACTTTCGGGGCCATGTTTGTATACTTCTGGTTTCCCAACTATTTTTTCACTACCTTGACATATTTCAGCTGGATGACTTGGATCGCGCCAACAAACAAACATAACAGCATCGTCAATGGCTTCAAGAATGGCCTGGGAATGTTTAATCCATGGCCTACCTTCGATTGGAACATTTTGCTCTACGATGGCCTTGATCCCCTCATGGTACCGTTCTTCGTCACAGCGAATAGGACGCTTGGGATGTGGCTGCTGGGCTTTGTCATTCTCGCCATATTCTACACAAACACCTGGAACACTGGATATTTTCCCATAAATACTAATTTAGTTCACGACCACTTTGCTAAGCCATACAATGTATCAAGGGTTGTTGACGATCAAGGAATGTTTGATTTACAACGTTATGTTGGATATTCCGGCGCTTATCTCAGCGCCGCCCTTGCCGTTGTATATGGGTGTTACTATGCCATCTACACTTCTGCGATTGTATATGTCGTTCTGTTCCACTGTAACGAGTTTGTGAACAACCTCAGGCCGTTGTGGCTCAAGATACGCCGGAAGAAGGGAAACAAAGAGGAGACAGGCCATGGGTACCAAGATATTCACAACCGCCTCATGAGTGCCTACAAAGAGGTTCCTGGCTGGTGGTACCTTGTTACCTTGCTGATTTCTGCCGGCTTTGGCTGGGCTGGAATTGCTGGCTGGCCCACACACACAACTCTTTGGGTAGTCCCGTTCGGAGTGCTTCTAGCCATTATCTTCATGATCCCAATCGGTATCATTAACGCCATGACTGGGGTTCATGTTACCCTCAATGTTCTAGCAGAATTCATTGGAGGCATGTGGGTGGAAGGGAACGCTTTAGCAATGAATTTCTTCAAATTATATGGGTAAGGCTCTATGATTCTATCTAGCAAGTGTTGAAGTTGACTAACATGCACAATCCGGCAGCTTTATAACCTGTGCACATGCTATCACTTTTGCGAATGACTTGAAGCTAGCACATTATCTCAAGGTTGGTTTCCCAAGTTGTTATAGGATATGCCTTGCTAGTCGAGCCATCGCCACTAACGCCCTTCCTCAGATCCCTCCACGAGCCACATTCTGGGCCCAGATGGTCGCCACGCTTATTTCAACATTCATCTGCAACTTGGTCATGGAAGTCCAGATGGACATCAAGAACGTCTGCACACCAAAGGCACCAATGCGATTCTACTGTCCCAATATCAACGGCTTCTTCTCTGCGTCGGTCTTATGGGGCACCATCGGCCCAGCCAAGATGTTCAGCCACACGGGCCAATACGCGCTTCTTCTTCTGGGTTTCCCGCTCGGCGCGTTGAGCACGGTGCTCTACTACTTTCTTGTGCGGAAATTCCGGCGGAGCAAGTGGCTACGAGCGCTGCATCCCGTGGCTCTGTGGTACGGCGGTCTCGGCTGGTCGCCATACAGCTTTTCATACGCCTGGCCGTCTATACCTGTGGCATGGCTGAGCTACCTCTATGTCAAGAAACATTTTCCGCAGTTCTGGGCCAAGTACAATTTCGTCCTGTCCGCCTCCTTGGCGGCTGCTATCCCGGTCGCGAGCATCATCATGGTCTTCAGCGTCCAGTGGGCAGAGATTGAGCTAAAGTGGTGGGGCAACACACAGCCATCGATCGGGTGCGAGGGTACGCCGTGTACCTTGAAGGCCCTTGGCAAAGGTGAGAGATTCTATCCATGGTGGGATCCTGCTGTCCATCCTGCGCCCTAGCCCTGCCTCCCACTCGGTTGGAGCGGGGAAGTCAAAGCAGGTATGTGTACACGGCGAGGCCATTAGAGCAAAGATAGAAACAGCATCCATCTGCAGCCCTGTTTCGACGCCAAGTCTGGAGATTGATACATCGTCATCCGGCAAGCTTGTCGGCAGGGAGCTCCGGATTTTCGACCCGGTCACGGATCCGGTTGCCGAACTTGGAGATGGGTAATTGTGGACCAGCCGGGCCGCATGCCGAACATTTAGTAACAGGGCTTCATTCCCTGTCCATAGACCAGGTAGATAAGATCATAAGAACGAGTGTGGGATAAACACAGTTGGAATGCCGATCACATGGAGTAACAATGTAACACACCATGATAAGTCTTGAGTTTCCTGTTCCTGACCGCAGCCACTAGGCCCGTCCTCAATTGAGTTTCGCCGTCCATCTTGGCACTCTACACTTGCAGCATGTCTTCTCTAGTAGATCTCACCACCAATTTAGCCCCCTCTAAGCGCTTCGCGTGTGCTCCCTCGTTCAACAGGTCTAGCTCGTATTCATTGGGATAGGAAACGTACGAGCACGTATTAATGTGTCACGTCGGTTAGGCATCCCGGCCCCACTGTCTTGCGTCAAGCCATCAAGCTCGACTGCGGGGAGCTCGATGTCGTGCCCATCAGTCGGATTATCATCTCAAACTCCTCATTCCCATCTTCCCTGATTAACAAGCACCACACACCATGTCCATCTCAAAGGTCGCCCTCGTCGGCGCCAACGGAAACCTAGGTTCCGTGATCCTCCCCGCACTAGTCGATGCAGGCTTCGAGGTGACCATCATCCAGCGCTCCGGCTCGAAATCCAAGCCCGCCATCTCCAGCCCCAACCTGAAGACCAAAGAGGTTGACGGCGAGTTCCCCCTCCCCGAAATCACCGCCGCCCTCAAGGGTCAAGACGCCGTCATCGCCGCATTCCCCCTCCCCAACCGCCTCCAACACCATCTCCGCCTCGCCTACGCCGCCGCCGAAGCCGGTGTCCGCCGATACATCCCCGCCGACTTCGGATCCTGCGACGCCGCCGCCAGCGAGCCCCTCCGCCGCCTCCAGCTGTATCGCGACAAGACCAAGGTCCGCGAGCGCTGCCAGGGGCTGACCCGCGAGTTCCCCGACACCTTCACCTGGACTGCCCTCGTCTGCGGCCACTTCTTCGACTGGGGTCTAAAGAAGAAGTTCCTCCACATCGACCTCGACCAGCACACCGCGCTGATCCTCGACGGGGGCAACAAGCCTGCCTCCGTGGCCACCCTGAGACGCGTGGGCGAGGCTGTTGTCAGGGTGCTGCAGCGCCCGGAGCAGACGGCCAACCGGACGCTGTACGTCCAGTCCTTCAACCCAACACAGCGCGATGTCATCAAGGCGCTAGAGCGAGCCACGGGAGCAGAGTGGACAGTGGAGGAGGAGGAGTCTGGGAAGTTTCTTGACCGTCACCAGAAGCTGTACAATGAGGGCTCGCACGAGGCACAGGAGGATATTGTGTACGCCTTGGGTGCCCTGGACGCTGACTGGACGACGAGGGACGGCTATGCCATGGAGCTCCTGGGACTCGAGAACGAAGACCTAGACGAGGTTGTGGGCGCCATCTTGAAGGAGCACGCCGCTCAATCGAAGCCTACAGCATAGCCTCGTCTTTGTGTCACTTTCACTTCTTCCCGTAGAGTAGAGCCTAGCGAACTTTGACAAGTCGTTCACAACCTTTTGTTAGTATCGATACAATGTGTCAGATCAACATCCTCGCGTGGCGTCTCGTGACCACGGCCATGGGTACATTTGTGTGGCCTGCTAGACATTTCAGCCGACAATATCCTAAACCTAGATCTACGGCCCACCAGATGGCCGATGGTACCAACGTCACCCTCCATTCCCTCCTTCGTAATCTTCACCTCCAAATGCTCCGGCCGGAACCAGATCGTGTGGGGCGGTCGGTATCCCCGTCGATCGGAGACACTCGAAGGGGGACGTTTTAGACGAGCCGTTGACACCTCTCGAGGGAGGGTATACGGCCCCCATTCCAGTAAGCTGTCGCAAATTAGATTTGGAGCCCGGAATGCAGGGTTTCGGCCCATGACTACCAGCTGAAAAACGGCTGACCCAAAATTCCTAGTGCAACCGTCTTCGCCCCAGCCAGTCGCTCATATCAAATGAAGACACTGGGCCAACGCCACCGATAAGCTGGCCGTAAACACCAGATGGGGAATCCAGGGTCCCTTCAACTTGTCTTACACAATCGACTTCACCTAGGCCACCGAATGAACCGGACAGGAGAACGAAAACATTATTTAGATCCTCACGAGTCCTCTTCATAGGCATTATGGAATTGGTAGGAAAGACGCCTGTAAGAGAAAGTCGTCAACACCAGGGATACAACTCAATCAGTTCCTCGAAGCTCTAACCGCAGCCATGAAGTCTGCTCTTTGGATCTCTCTCTTTTTCTCAGCTCTCGTAAGGTAAGTCAAATCAGGGTGGACCTCTGACCTGACTCCCCCTTTCGAGCTTCTAATAACCGTATATCCAGCGCTGAGAAGGTGCGGGCACCTTGCCCAACCATTACCTCGGTTACAGCATCTTGCGATGCTTGTTTCCATGCCGAATGTGTGGCCAAGACTACTCTCACGCAAGGATGCGGTTGCCCTACAGCCGTACCTACGGTGTACACAAGCCGGGGCTGCGATCAAGGCTGCCCGAAGGGATGCAAATGGACGAGCCATGTCATTGCCACCCCTACCGCAGGCTCATGCTAGTCCACTCCCTAGTAGAAGTGCCGGATAGAGGCTGGGAGGAATCCCAACAGGCTATGGCGCGAGGCGGAGGGTTGTTCCAGCATTGCGGCGGTGTGGACTTTGTGTTAGGATAGCAGACCAAGCCAAAAATCAAATATTGCCCAACTGCCCGTGTCACAAATTTTGGGCCGCACTTGATATACCTCATTGAGGCCCAAGATTATGTTCTCCCCTGGGCAATCTGTGAGAGACTAGTAGCCATCGCAAGCTACCAGACCGCAATTCAAGGCAATAGCAGTTTTCAACACCTCTGGCATGCAAGAAACTGAGACGCCAACCACATAGCAAATTGGTGACACGCAATCTCTGTTTTCGATCATCGGATATTAGTAAGAGCTGATCCAGAACAGCAGATGGAGGTAGCTGTGGTGGTTCAGAAAGAGTGACACCGCGTATAGAAACAGGCGATTCATTCAGCCAATGTACGTTACACGTGTAAGAAAAGCCTAGACACGGTTTGAAACGTCCAAAATGAGAAGATGCGAAAATTCTGTATTTGATCAATGCAAAAAGCTGAGCCGTGCGCCGTTCAGCTCTTCAGGGACATGACACCAAGAGGCAAAACGCCTGATGATGGGGAATTTTGGAACAAAATAGCATCGCCGTTAAGAGACGCCCGAACGGTGGATTTCAGAGGAGGTGAGGCTTCTGGGACTGTGTCTGGGCTGGGCGGTATATCAGACCGCTGGGCAGGGATACTCGACTGGATCGAATACACCGAGATGCAGCCTGGGACGGCGCTATGCAGCAATGCAGCCTTGGCAGGGCACCTGATCGGTCTTCGGTAGAGTGGGTTGATGGTGTCTGGACTCCGGACTCTGGCCACAGGTAAGATCAATGTGGTGATGTGGAGAATGGACAGCTGGCAAAGGGCCGCGCGGCAGCTTCCAGGCAATGAAAGAAATTAACATTGAAGCCTCCAGGCGCGCTGGGGCTTTCCCCGCGCCACAATAGGCACGGGCCTCCAGAGCCTATGACTTACTGCGATAGGGCGCTGTCCGTCTTCCGTCATACGCGCTGGCAGTGCTGATCCAGTGGATCGCCTGATGGCCACAGGGCAGGGACAGGCTCTAATTGCAGCCCTGCGAGTAACTGCCGAGCTGCTGCACACCAGCCCAGGCCGTGACACGCGACACATCATCCATGGACGCTGATTCCAGGGCCAGTCTGTCGGGCCGGAGGTGCGTCAAAAGAGCCAAGCAGGTACAGGCACATGTGCGACAGGTGAGAGGGAGAAAGGGTCGGGTTCTTCCTGGTTTGGAGAACCGTCGTCAACTCCACCTGGTGCAGGATCTTCCCGACGGCTGAATGGCTTGCTGGGGCTGGCTACGAGCTACCATCTACGTATCCAATACTGACGTCCTGCTGCTAATTACTGGGGGGGACATACACCTAACAATCAACGTATGTAGGCGCCAGTGTTGGGGACGCCACCAACAGCTGCTGACGTTGACCTATCGATCTGTCCTCGCCGCCCTCTCCCAGAAACCCGATGGCGGCAAGTGATACGTTGGGGCCAAGGCAGCGAACAACACCTCTTCCTGGTCAAACTCATCAGGTGTCTAGCGCGAATTGATCATTTGTATTCATTCGCCTGCCTGACGTCGTCTCGATCCACCCAAGTTGGCTTGGGCATCACCTATTTTTTCCCGCTTGTTTATGCTGCCCGTCCCGCATCCCAAATTAGTGCCTCCTCCCCCCCTGCTGTGTCTCGACAAGGCTCACCCACCTCCGACTCTCAACCACAGCTCCAGGTTGCTGATTTTGTTAATTGACCTCTTGCTTTGCATTGCATAGCAACCGTGCCCCAGTCCACTTTTATTTCTTCCTCTCGATCGTCTCCGTCGAGAACATCAACAACAGGGCCTATCCCTAAAAGACACGATACCCAAGGCTCATCAGCCTGATGTCCAGGAACTAATCCAAATTATCTCGCTGTCACGACACATCTGAGCCCCGATCTGACGAGTCGTGGGCGTGACACAGCAGGGGATAGCTCGTTGCATCTCAGACCTGCCGATCACTCTTGCTTTCATAGCGTTTCGTCTTCAAACCCCTCTCCTTCAACCTCACAACTCAAACAAGTTAAAAGGTCCCTGGATCCCGCTCGGCAGATAGTTCTACAACTTGCCTGTCGCCGTTCTTGCCAGGTCATCTTTTCGCACCTTATACCAACCAGCAAGCGAAGACGCACTCAACTTCACCGGCTCACTCAGCCATTGACTGTTCCTTCACACATCATGGAGGCCAGGTCATTGGGAACCGTCAATTATCTGGCAGCCAACCCGCCGCAGTATCCCGTCAATCCCGCAGAGCAACGGCGTGAGGCTGTCACACTCTACATCTCCCGTGTGCCCGGCACTCGAGGTAAGTCCCAGCTTCCGCCTTGTTATTCTTGTTCGATGTGCTGACCATAATCCAGATGTTATTCTCTCCCCTTTTAAACCTCAGCTGAAAAATGTCTCCCCGGAGGATGTAGCCAGCTCCCTCTACTATATTCACCATGACACTTCGCCCACAGCTTTCGCCCAGGAAGAGGCCCCAAGGTCAAGTAACGACAGCAACCGCTCCAGAGCTATTCCTCGGAAACCTGTACCTGGCGCAACTCAGCAGCAAACCCCAAGTGCGGTTCAAGTTCCAACTCCGGTTACATCGCCAGTGACGACTCCTGCTGCTGTTCCTGTTACATCGCAGACCAAACCTCCTGATGCACCACCGTTCCCAACCCCAGGAACCCCGGAGGATCCGCCTCCGGAGTATGAGCCAACGCCATCTCCTGCCTATCATGAAGCTCAGGCGCCGGATTCAAAGGCACCTCCACCTCCAAGCCCAGCAGCTCCCGGTCCCAACATATCAGCCGACGTCTCATCGCGCGCAGCAGGCTCCGATGAACTGTTTTTGTCTCCGTCACATCCGCCACCGGGACATGCGAATCCCCACCCTTTGCCAGCACTTCCGGACGAGCCTCCCTCCGTTCTGACTCCCCCGCCGATTCCAGCGAAGATTCCGCTTAACCAGCCAGAGGAGATTGTCGAGGATGACCCTCCTCCGCCTCCTCTACCTCCCCGACGGGAAAATTTGAGTCTCCCGAGCTTACAGACTGGCCTACCAGCTCGCAAGCCTATTAACACAAGCCCGCCAGATGCTGGCCCAACTATCCCTGCCCCGCAATCAGCCCGCGAACCATTCAGTTCCATTGAAAGAAGTTATGATGTGGACTACTCTCCAAGGCCATCCACCTCTCATTCACTCAACAATGAGGCACAACTAATCTCACCACGATTGAACCAAGAGGGCCAACCCAGGCTCTCATTGTCTCAGAGGCCTACCACCGATCCCTTCACACTTATTCTCATCAGACGTGACCCCAGCACGGGCCTTCAGTGGAATGTAGCCAAGGTCAACTGCCAACCGCGCGACCTCACCCCAGTAACCCCCATGAGAGACGAATCAGATGTGACGGTTGCAGCGTCAAGCCGATCCTATCCAGCCATCGATATCCAGATCCAGAACACAGGATACGCCAAATTCCGCCACAACTTCCCTCGCCGAAGCATGGAACAAAATGGCGACCAAGCCCCCCGCACCCAACAGGCAGACCCCAGCCTGTTCACACGACAAGTTGCCATGTTTTACTCGAAGAGCTGGGCCACCAACTTCCGCGAGAAGCTGAATCAGATGGAGAAGAAGCACAATAACCGCACACGAAAACTCAGCAACGACTCAACCGGCTCCACGGACTCTGCCGAAGGACCTTCTACATCCATTGGCGTCCCCGTACCCGGCATGAAACCAAGAGGCTACATATTCACCAGCCCCTGGGATACCCGCTGCGAGTTTCGCACGGGCGATGGCGGCCGCAGCCTTCGCCTCGTCCACATCCTCGGTGACAGCGTCCCGCCCACCTTTAACGGCCAGGAGGATGGCGAATCCCACCAGCCCAGCTCGGTTGTTCTCAGCGAGCTTCGATTCAACCTGCCTAATACGGATCTCTTCCACAGCACGCATGACAAGAATCTGGCCAACGTCCAGAACCAGCTGGGGAATCTGTCCAAGTTCTTCCAGAAGCGTACCGGACATGGCCAGTACGAGGACGACGAGTACGACGACCCGGCTTCTCCATTTGATCTGAGTCTTGGAAGAGAGAACGCTGGCGGTGGAAGCCGAGGAACGAGGGTAAAGATGGGCAAGCTCATCATCTACCACGACGGACTGAAGATGCTGGATCTCGTGGTGGCCGCTAATATGGGGGTATGGTGGAAGTCATGGGAGAAGAACTTTTAATTTTCCCTTGGTTTTGGTTGATCATGTTTTTCCTTCCATTTGGGACATGTTTTTTAATTTTGCATCTGATATAACGAAACGACTGACGCGATACGAGCGATTGAGTACAGGGATGGGCATAGAAGGGGTTGGGAAACAATGTACAGCGCAGCGGATGACTAGCGATACCCCGCGGGAGGCATGAAATAGGAAAAGCAGGCAAAAGAAATTTGACTTCTACATATAGCGCACACACCTAATTAAATAAGCAGTTGAACTTTCAGAAAATGATGCCGATGCCAACCTCTGAGGTGTTCTCCAAGCATGCAGTTGTGTTACTTAGTGCTAGGATGTGAAGAGGAGATGATCAACAAGCTAGCCTAGATATCTTTTATCAACAAACAGATATGAATAGTAGAGAATCATTCTTATAGATCTCGTAAGCATAGGTTGTTCTCAAATCCCTTACCAACTCGGAACAGAACACCCATTCCTCCACTACCACCGACTAAATGCAGCCCATAATTGAAGTAGCTTTTTTACCATTTGGAAGGGAAGTTCATTTCTGCAGCGGGGGAGCAGAAAGATACGGGATATGAAGAGGGAAAACCTAGCCCTGATATAGTAAAAGCTAACCGTGACATGCAGTAAAAGTAAAATCTAACCATGACATGCAGCAAAATCTAAACATGACATGCAGATGAATGATCAGACGGCTAGGTACATGTACCTACATGTACGTTCGGCGAAAATAAGGAAAACGAAATCAAAGGTCAGAAATCAAGTATTAATATGGCTTTAAAACCTCTCCTCGGAGTTGGTATATGATGTCTTGGCTCAATGAGAAAATTCGCCACTGGATAACCAGTAAACTTACCACATCTTGGTTACTGGCCAAGTGGGTGAGTTACTGGCCAAGTGGGTGACATTGAAAATTGAGACACTCAAACATTAAGCTGCTTATTCTCAAGTCTGCGACCGGTATTACCAGATTATTAAGTCCTAATAATATATAAGAGTGTATTTATTATTCCTTTCTTCTATTTTCATACGACTAAAATTCTCTATTATTTGCAGAGAGTAGTCGATTAATAACCAACTCTTCCATTAGGTGTCTCATTTCTCCTGTCACCCACTTGCTGGCTTCGTCACATTATGTTTTGCCAGCTCATCTAGCCCCCAAAATCACCGAGCGACAAAGCCTCACCCGCCACAAGTAGTTAGCCATTAAATAACTTCCATATGTTAAATCAGCCAATTATTCAAGCCCCCGCACTAGATGACTGAGCGACGAGTGTTTTGGATGCATCCTTTTGAGGTCATAGCACTTAGTAATTCAGGCGTCTTATTCGATGCCGATGGCACGCTAGCAGATCAGTGACGATGGTAGCATCACGTGAAAAGTCACGCGACAAGCTCTGACCAATCACGAGCTGAGAATTGTAATCCCGCAGAGCCGGCGAGCGAAATCTCCCATCACGTCAAGAATAGCCTCCAGTATCACAATCGCCACGACAGAGCCTCTCCCCTCCACCCCAGCAACCTCCCCCCGTCCCCCCGACGACCTCGACCTCTGCCGCCTCCTGTGGTCAGTTAGTCACAATGGCCTCCTCAATCATCGCCCGCCAGCAACTGCTGCCTCGGGTAGCCAGCGCCGCCCTGACGACGTCCCGAGTAGCTGCCATCCAGCAAGTCAGAGGTTATGCAACTCCCAAGGGTCCCCCACCCACCAACTTCCGGCAGAGTCGCCAGGTCGAATGGCATTGGGATAGCGACACAACCCTCGACCGCATGGGCAAATTCTTCCTCATGACCGAAATGGCCAGAGGAATGTACGTGCTGCTCGAGCAGTTCTTCCGACCTCCGTACGTCCAAGCCGAAACCCGAAAGCCCTCAATTGAACACGCCAATGCTAATATTGAGCTTTTAGATACACCATCTACTACCCCTTCGAGAAGGTAAAGCTTTGTCGGCATCGAATTTGACGACTGGTTGCGCTGACAGAAATCTATCACAGGGCCCCATCTCTCCTCGCTTCCGTGGCGAGCACGCCCTCCGACGATACCCCTCCGGTGAAGAGCGCTGCATCGCCTGCAAGCTCTGCGAAGCTGTACGCCATACCGTCATGACAATTCTTCTCTAGCTCATCGGATACTGAACAATTGCAGATTTGCCCCGCCCAAGCCATCACCATCGAGGCCGAAGAGCGTGCCGACGGTTCCCGCCGCACAACCCGTTACGATATCGATATGACCAAGTGCATCTACTGCGGTTTCTGCCAGGAGTCATGCCCCGTCGACGCCATTGTCGAGTCTCCCAACGCCGAATACGCTACCGAGACCCGCGAAGAGCTTCTGTACAACAAGGGTGCGTCTTTTCTCCTCGGCTTCAACCCGGGCCCTATAAATGGGCCAATTGGCCTCCCCAATGACCGCAGTGTGAAAATGCTAACTCTCTCCTTTTTCTCCTCACAGAGAAGCTTCTTTCCAACGGTGACAAGTGGGAGCCTGAGCTCGCTGCTGCCATCCGTGCCGATTCGCCCTACCGGTAAACACCGACGGCCCACTCGGACGCCGAGGAATAAATTCAAAAGGCGAGAAAAAATGTGAAAACAATCCTCAAAACCCGAATCATCAAATCCAAATCCATATACCTCTATTTTATATTTTCACGCACCGTTCTTTTTGTACGATCAAACCGCGCACGCCTGTTAAAACGAGAGACAGCGAGGGAGAGGGAGGGAGAGCAATAGCATGAGCATGAGTGAGACAAAAAAAAAGGAAGCCACTTTTTTAAAGAACGAGCAGATGACACCGGTGGTTTCCAATTGTCGGACTGTACATAAAATGTTTAGATCTCTTAGGGGTGTTAAGGTCTACCATCTACAAAACGCCTGTCCGTCCCAGTTGCTTTCATGTTCAGTCTCACGGAGATATGCAGGCGTATCAGGATTGGTGCTTCTGATTATTAGGGGTTCATACTCTCGCTATTCGAGACTAATATTTACAGCTTAAGCCATTCTCGACGACTTTTTTTTTCATCTTCTCTCAACAAACTCCTCGTCATGCATTCATGAATTGCTCGCATTCCAAGCTTCAAACTTAGCACTCTCTGACCTTGGGCTCGCCAGCGGACCCTGCAGCATTGAGCATCAGCTCCATGAAGCCAGCTCCGACCTGCCGCATGGAGTTGTGGTACTCCTTATTGGATGGGTAGAAGGGACACGAAGGGTCGGCGGAGCTGGCATCTCCAAATTCAAGGCAGAGGCCGTACAGGCGGCTGACACCGCACTCCCCGGAATAGTACCGCCCGAGGGCGTAGTCGTTGCTGCCGCCCGAGGTCGGGTACAGGCCGACGCTGGGCTGGGCGGTGTACTTGAGGGTCCCGGCGCCGTTCATGGCCGACAGCATCAGGCTGTTGAGCGACTCCTCGGCCTTGAGGTCCTCGGGGGCGAGATATTCCTTGTACTCGCTGCCGGCGGGGTCCTCACCGGTAAACCCGCGGTGGCCGTCGTACTGCTTGTTGAGGAAGTTCTGCTTGGGGTCCTCGGTGCCGTAGTCGTCGTCGCCCCAGGCATAGAGGATATCGGCGGAGTAGGAGTGGAGGTCGAGGAACCAGGACAGGCCCTTGTACTGGTCCATGACCCAGGTGACAGCCTGGACTTCGGGTTCAGAGGCCGGGCCAGTGCCATAGAAAACTTCACTCGACGGGTCATCAGACGCGGGAGGGGAAGAGAGGTCAGAGCTAAATAGGGTCTTGTAGTCCCATGTGAAGTTGAAGTTACGGTTCAGGTCCACGCCAATGTCCTGGCTATTCGAGCCGCCCGAGGACGACGCCGTGTTACGATTCTTGCGCCAGCAAGTGCTGGTCTCCTGATCATAGGCAACACCATCGGGGTTGGTGAGTGGGACGAAGACGACACCGGCGGAGAGGGCCGTCTTGACCTCCTCAGCTGTGTATGTCTTGTCGCCATAAGAGACACCCTTTCCGTTCTTCTGCGCCTCGAGGAGGTCGGAGATGAAGTAAATCAGGTGGTCTGGCCCGCCTCGCTCACGGGCGTGGATGCCGCTCATCAGAAACACCCGGGGATTGTCACCAATCACGGCACCTTGCAGGGTCCTGCCCTCCTGGGTCTTGAACGGCGGCGTGAACAACTTGACAGCATCGGGGAAAGCAGCAGAGAGGCCGCGAACGGCGGATCCGACTTCCTGGACACTGAGGATAGATTCGAGATCTCTGTCTTGAACGCCCAGACCGACGGGGGCGACGGTGCCGTTCTTGAAGCGATCACCCGTGCCAATAGGGACGGTGTTTGACTGGCTAAGACCTCTGGGCTGGTACTGGGAACGAGGGTGAACTTGGCGAGTTCCATGACGGGCATACTCTCGCTCGGCGAGAGCCTCGTGGGGCAGCAGGCATGCCTGAGCTGTGAGGGAAAGGCCGAGAACGGCGGCGGATACAGAGGATGGGAGCTTCATGACGGCGATGGCAGCGTCTCTCGAGGATGTACTACTGAGCCAGGCATACGCACCAAAAGTGGGAAATAAGAAGCATATATAGATGGAGCTCTCAGAAGTGGGTGGTAAACATGGGGCAGATGAAGGGGTGACAAGCAAGAAGATCAAGCTACCTCGTACATGGAATATCAAGCGGCCTCTCACGAACTAACAGCTGGAGCTGACCAGATGAGGCACATGCTTTACACCCATTGGCTCCTACCCAGCGCTCGGGAGTGCCATAAGTGGCAGGACGAAACCAGGCACAGGTTTTGGCTTCTGAGATCGGCGCGGCCATCATGCACTGCCAAACAAACAAAGGTCCCAGCGTCCAGGGGCTTTTTTCCAACCTGCGTGATCGCCCCCAGCTACCGGGATGGTGATTCGCGTCACGGCGAGGCGGTGGTCATGCCTACGTACTCCTGGCCCCATTGAGCCCCATTAAGGAGTCACTCGCGGTGGACGAAGGACGGGAGTGATAGATGATTGGAGGTGAGCGCCTGAGCTTGGACGGGTGCTAAACGGATGAAGCTACTAATCAATGAATTGCCCTCAGGATGTGACAGCGCACAGGACCGTAGGTAACAGCCCTCACGGCAACATAGTACTTCACACCGCGGCCTGAGGGTGCACATCATGGCGGCGGGTCAGGTGGCGGTGGAAACCCGTGTGAAACAAAGGCATACGTCTGTCCACCTGCCACAAGCCGGGCTATTGTGGAGAAGTAAAACGTGTTACAGCGTTATTATTTGGGGGAAGGAGGTTATTAAAGCTCCAAAGCGAACTAGCAATGAGGGGTCGGACCCTGCTAGCTTGAGAGTAGAGGAAGGAAGAAAGAAGAAGGCGAAGGCGAGGGAGAGGGATCAATAGAACAAATCGAAGGCGAAGAGAAGGCGCGGCTGGATCTTTCACGGTCCCTTGCATCAGTGGTGCCGTTATTTGTAAAGAAAAAGAAGCCTTTGGATGGACCACCCTGGCCGGTTTTCGAAACTGCTCGTGGTGATGCTGTTAGTGGGCCTGAGTTGGGATGAGCCACTGCTGGCGCAAGCCCCTGTCACCTTTCGTCTTTGTCTCTCTTCGTGGCGACTACTGCGAGAGTCCCTATCATTCTCATGAACATACACAGTAACAGCATCACTGTTCTCTTGGGAAACCTGCCGAACCGCACCCATGAGGAACCAAATACCAGGGGATTGGTAAGTACAGAGCCTTTCTCTGTGATGTGAAAGCCAGGGGTTACTAGCGCACACTACTTAGTACTTGTTGATTGAACCTACCATGTACCGCAGCAAAGAATGAACGGAAAGGAAGACCGAAGAGACAGAATATACGATACATTCAATCAATAACATCCATTCAAGAAGCGCGTGGCTTCGTATCAGTGCTTTCCTCTCTCTTAGTCGCCGAGATATTAGGTGCCTTTTGTGGACCCTTCAAGACAACACTCAACTCCACTCTAAGCAAGCCATAACACTTAACCATAACTCCCACCATCAAATCCTATAATCTTCAACTGCAACCTGCCTATCCAGCATGCCGTGCTGCCAGCGCTTCCAAAGGCGGGATTGTGGCCACAACGGCATTCTCCAATTGGGCTCTTCCTAGTTTTCCCAGAGGACTAACTTTATTCAGCGACCCAATTCCTTGTAATTTTGCTTCTCGATCCTGATTCGGAGTTATGCGATAGCGCTGACGTCTATACGAAACCTGCATGCCTCCCAAATTGTTGGCTCCCCATCACTCGTCTAGCAACATCACCAACCCCGCCTGCTCAATAGCCCAGGGCCTCGGTGCAAATAGTATTTAATTCTCGTCGTAGAACCTAGAGCGATTGTCACCAAACCTCTGCTGTTGTCTTACTTTCACGCTCAAAATGGTTTCATTTCGGGCCCTGGGGGCTCTCCCCTTCCTGCTCATCCCTCCATTCATGGCCTACATATTCTCATTCGCCCCAATCATTACTATCGCTTTCGAGTCCATGCTTGAAGATGGGCAATTCTCTCTCAACGGCGTACAAGCACCTCTCATGAAGACGTTCTACGGCATCAACATCCTCGATGAGACACTCTCCCGCGTCTGTGTCGGATTTGCTCAGCTGTTATTATTTCCTGCTGATCCAAAGGGCTACTGGCAGCTCTTTTTGTTCTTGACGGAATTTGCTGGCCTGTACGGCATCTTCATTCTTGAAAGTTGCAGGGGGGCTCACAGACGTTCCATCCTTCTGTTGTGAGTATCTCCATCCGCCCGCTGTACATTCGAGCGCCCACTAACATGGTCAGCCCCTTCTTGATCGCCTTCTTTGGCCAATTCATGACCGTCGGGATCCTCAGTCCCATCTATTTCTTCACTCTCTATGTCAAGTCGCCGCTCTCCAAGCTGAATACGCCCACAGCCCGGTCCATCCCGGCGTCAGACGCTGTGGCTGTTCTGCCAACCGTCGCCCTAGCATACTATTCCTCACAGCTCCCCTCGCAGTTCCACCCTAACTATGAGGCACGGCTATGGTACACCTGGGTCTGGCAGATTTATCCCGTCTGGGGTTCTGCCATCTTCTTTGTGCTATCCAAGACACTGGGTCCTGCATTGGCCCCGAAGCAAACCATGAGTGTGCTGAAGCCTACGTTTGCCTTCTTCATTGTTTTGAACGTTGCTTCTTACTGGTACACGCTGTTGGCCTCGGGAATCCCCTTCTTCGACATTATGATACCAATTTATTTCACTAAAGCGCCGCCATCTGCACAGGAAGTTCTCAGGACAATTGTTCAGTATGATTATATCTTCACCTTTGGGGCGATGACCCTCTGGCTGGCATACTCTTTCTGTGACCTGAAAGCCGCAGGCATTATGAAGACGTCCTGGATTACAATTGTCGTTGTTGCTATCGTTACATCATGCTCGGCTGGGTTGGGAACAACAGTGCTGTTGGGATGGCTTTGGCGCGAACAGCTATTGTCCACACAAGATGATCGTAAGACAAAATAGGCGCATGTCAGTTCGAATTATCGAGTATATATATACAAATCTCTTTGGTCTAAGGCATGGACTATTATTAGGATATATGTACCTTCTTTCACTCCATCCTCTTAGCTGCTTGATAGGGTTTCCTTTTGAATTTTCAGTATCTCCAAGGTTGGACCATCTGGATAGATTAGATTAAAATTATACGCTCCTGGACCACGTTATCTGGTAATCGAATTTCCAGATGATCCCTTTTATTCCCTACGTCAAAAGGTATTGGACTTGCCATCCTCTTTGATCACACACCCCATTTGGGGCCAGCTACGCTCGTCAATTCATTAAAGAAAATACAGTAAAGATACTATAGATATAAACTAAGGGCGATTGAGCTATCTTCTAGTTCTCTCGTTTCTCTTCTTCACTGAGCTGTGTCTGGGATCGGGCGTTGAACCTCTTCGAAGGCTACAGGGTAGCTGGGAGCGACCTCGGCACAGTGATGTAGAACAGCGAATCAGCATCCTGCCCAATCCGCTGACTAACTGCAACTCGGAACTCATTCACGTGACTTTCCTCCCTCAACCTTGGCAAGAGCTCCACGCTAGCTCCGTGAACCCGTTCGGTGCCAGCGAGAAATTTATCATCATTGAGCAAGACCATTCCACGGCTTTGCCAATTGACATCCCGCCACCCCCCTTCCACCATCCCCAGATACATCGCCAGGCTCAAGCCCGCCTCATAGCAAAAATGTTCCGCACCGCGCTCCTCCGTTCGGCCCCCCGCGCCGCTTCCGCCGCCCGCCCTGCGCGCCGAACCCTCGCCAACATCGCCAGGCCCATCCGCTCCGTCGCCATGGCCCCCCGAGTTCAGAGCTTCCAGGCCGTGAGAATGTACAGCGCGGGTGGTAGCCTGAACAAGGAGGAGGTCGAGGGAAGAATTTTCAGCCTGCTGCAGGGCTTTGACAAGGTATGTTCTTTTTCCTTGCCTGCCTATCTATCTTGGCTCGGGATATCTGGATTGCGAGGCTTCCCCTCGGTGTTTTCGACGCTCGGCGTCGGCATATCGGGCATTGGGTCAAGACCACTTAGCAATTGGGATTGGGTGCCACAGATATCAGGTCGCAACTTCTGATATTGGAAGATGATGCTAAACCAGCCTGCCTTAGGTCAACGACACCGCCAACGTACGTATCTTCGGCTCATGTCCCCGAACCTCAAACTCACCCCGTTGATTAGATCAAGCCCACCGCCCACTTCGCCAATGACCTCGGTCTCGACAGCCTCGACACCGTCGAGGTCGTCATGGCCATCGAGGAGGAGTTCAGCATCGAGATCCCCGACAAGGACGCCGACTCTATCCACTCCAGTAAGAGCCCCACTTCGCTGTGTTCATGAGATATTATGAGTTGCCGGCCCAGATCAAAGTCCAAGCGCTGACATGACATTTTCCCCCGCTATTAGTTGATCAGGCCGTCACCTACATCCTCAACCAGCCCGATGCCTCCTAAATGCGCACTCTCTCGGGAATCACTCCGCAACTCAATCAGCCACCTCCCCCCACCTGGACCGTTCTCTGTTTGATCGCACGGCACACACATCTATGAGAGTTTTTAGATCGACACCGACCGATGGGGGCTTCTTGTTTCTAAGTGCGTTTTGGGGAAACCTTAGATGTCTGGTTCATAGGGGAGGGGCCTTGGGTATTATCTCTTCTCCATTGTTGGCGCAATCGAGTCATGGGGGGAGGGGTATCGGAACGAGGACAAACTGACGAAGAAAAAAAAGAATACATGTTAAAAAAAACTGTTCTAATCTTTGGGTGAGAAGGGGAGATGGCGATTTTGGCTTGCCAGGTCCGGGAGGGGGGAGCATGAATAAAGGAAAGGAGACACACGAGGAATCTTCTCTTGGTGTCGTCAACTTTTGGGTCTTTTGAGCAAGAAAGCACCCTATGTACTAGTGTATAGAACCAACCCAATTTTTTTTTCCAATTGGTCATGTTGCCTTTGTGATACTCTACTCCTGATCAGAGGTACATGTACAGTGGAACTACGATCATGCAGCGTATCAAAGTCACTCGCACAGACGATAAAGTAAAGTATCTTTGTCAATGGTTGTTCTTCATCTTAAATTATGGGTTTGCGTTCCCTTTCCTATGTATCACAAACTGCCCAGTCCTCCTCTCTAGAAAATATCAATGGTAGCTGTCGACGAGCCACATCTTTTCTTTTCTCCTGCTCCTGTATGCGATTTTTTTGACTCCTGTATCTTAGCAAGGAAATGACATTCACCGTCTCCGAATCGCCAGAGCTATGAGAGACAAGAAGAAGAGAAAAGGAGAAGTACTCTTGGGGTAAGAGTCAGAACAGATTCCCCCCACCTTCCCTCGGGCAGGCTCAGGGCTGCTGCCAACACATGAAGTGCATGGAGGGGAAGTAGCCGGGAGCAACGTATAAACAAACTGAAGAATATGGCACAGGATAAAAGGAAGAAAGACGAAAGTGACCGACGATAAAAGGAGACTGGGATTCAGTGAAGAATCTATCACGTTGTCGGCGTGGTAGAAAGCAAGGAAACACAGAAACAAGAAGAGGCTCCTTGGGGGCCAATTCGCCTGCCTGCCTGTTTCCAGGCCAAAAAATACATGCCGCCCTTGACCAAACGCCTCCCCTGAAGAAATCATCGATGCTCATAAGAACAAAACTAATCAAATCGAACCCCGTAAATCCATTGAACCGTAGATAATCCGCGTCAACACCAGGTTGGGGGGGGGAGTGAATAAAACACAGTGGAAGACTCCAATACCAATGTATCTCATGTCCATAGCCTCGTTTTTTTCTTGCTGTTAGTGTTGCCAAGTACGAAACTGGCCTGCTTGAGATGCGTAGCAAAAAACCATCTTTAAATAGCTGACCAAACCCGGGCCTCTTTTTTGTGCGCCCATTTTCCAAGATGCAAGATGCGTGCGTAAAATCATTTAATATCATTGTGGAATAGTGATATGTTTTTTTTTTCTTGTTTTTCAGTAGTAACCAAGAGCAACTCGGTATATTGGACAAGTCTTCTGTGACTTATTGTCCATTTATGGCAACAGAGTCACGGCCCTCCTTGGAGCCATTTGCAGTGCCCTTCCCGGCAACGGCGCTGGCATAGCTGCCCCAACCGCCCATAGCAAGGCCAGCAGAGCCTCGCTTTCGTGCCCGGTTGAGAGTTGGGTCCTCTTCTTCCTCCATGCTGAAGACAAACGCAGGGTCCTCTTCATCAATGGGAGTAGTAAAACGGCCAGTAACCGAGGAACTGATGCTTCCACTAGAGACATGACGTTCGAGATGGCGATCCTTGGACAGAGAGCTGATCGTATTGCGTGCAGCTGCAGGATGGAGAAGAGGGCTAGAGGCGCCGGGAGCATCGTCGATACGGCTGCGCTGTAGTTGTTGGGATAGGACGGACATGGACTCGCTGCCCGATCTGCTGGCAAACGGACGAGTGGTACTGCCCAATCCATCCATCTCTTGAGCCAATGTTGAGTTTCTCAAGGGACTTCCGACGTGCCCAAACACCGATGGTGCGGCTCGTGCTGACCTAGAAAGGTCATCGTCTTCCTTTCCACGGGGAAAAATACCCCATCGCCCTGGGCTTGTACCGATAGGGCTTCCATACTTGGTTACTCCGTCAATGCTAACGTCTCCTTCATGGCGTATAGAGCCGCGACGAGCCTTCTCGGCAGGCGTAAGCAAATCCTGGAGATTTTCAGGAACATAGTTCTCTGGAAGGTTGTCATCATCCACATCGTCTTCGAATGCAAATTCGGCCTGCCAGTCGTAATCAACGGCAGAGGCTTTTGGCAGACTGGAGCTGAGCATGCGAGGCTTCGTGTATCGCGCCGAATGCATAGTTCGTTTTCCGAAATACTCTTCTGTCCCGCTTCCGTATTGCGAATTGGTAAGGCTTCCAGCAAGAGGCGTTGCCAGATGGTCAGATGAACCAAATGCTTGTGTGTGAAGAAGTCGAAGAGTTTCCGAAGTAGGCGAGTCCTTGGCAGCAAGGCTCAGCGAGGGAGAGTGCGATTCTAGACCAAATTTGGAGGGAACAGAAGACGGCCATGGGCCGCCGGGATAGAGAGCAGCATTGGATATGCCGTTGGAATCGAATGAAGCGGGGAGGGGGGCATCCATGACAGATAAACCCTTGCCGTTGGAAGGAGACAGACCCAGTCCGAATCGAGTATCTTCGTCACGAGGCGAGCCATACGCTGAGCTCGTGTGGGAGTAAGGCGCATCGATGATTGGAAGGCCATTCTCGATGCTAGGTTGCTGGCGAAGGTTGTGTTGATTGTGGCGGTCGTCGAAGGGGAAGGTAGAGAGGGACGACTGATCGGCACGGTAGAGCGAGTTGGTGAGAGCACTTGCGGATGCTTGGCTTCGGTTGTGGTCGGTGCCATTCGCGGCGGGAGTGCTGGAGGTAGGCGAGGTTGGAGTCTGAGCAGAGCAGGCACCTAGGTTAACGGGACCATTTCCGATTGTGACGCCATTTTTGCTGTAGTTGATGCGCCGGCCATCGGGCAAGACATGGATATTGGCGCATTTGGGCCCGAACTTGCAGTTTCCCTGTGATGCAGTGTTAGTCAATCCGTGTGGAAAACGTGAGCCGGAATGTGTCGTCAAGTGCACGAGGCAATATGGGGATTGGGTGTGGGCATGAGTGGTGGACTCACCTTGGCGAAGTACTTGCAGATGTTGTCTGCGGCTGCACCAAGATCGTGGCTGAATGGGCAGGCATTGCCGGCCTGACAAGCTCCCTGCCGGAAGAACTTGCAGGGAACGTGGGATGTGTCTATCCAGGCGGTTAGTTGGAATGGCGAGTCGAAGGAGTGCGCCACGGCAGCAGCGCCAGAGGCGGTTTTGGGGATTTTGGAGCGGGTGGAAAACTCACTTGGAGGGCTTCGAGGCCCTTCGAAGCGGGCAGCGGCTGCTGCATTGGAGCTTCCATGAGCGCCGTTGGAGGCACCCATGCTGCCGTTCCGCGAGTGACGGTTCTGCATCGCGACGACGAAGGACGGAACGAGTGACGGAGGATAGCAGCCTGGTCCGGGCGGGCAGAGGAGTCGGTTTAAAGTGAAGGAAGCCTCTCGGAGGAGGGACGGGATGAGAGGCAGGTTTGGAGTGCGTAAAGGTGGGTGGGCTGAAAGTGACGAGGTACCCAACCGTGGCAGCGGAAATGGCCTGCTGCTATTGGCGGCGAGGGCTCAGTGCCAGGAGCAGACGGGGCACGTATCACCGAGGCGAACGAGGGGCAGGCTGGAAGAGTGCAAAAGGCGGGGAGCAGGAGAGGAGGCAATATTAGGCGGCACAGAAGGTTTGAGGAAAATTACCTCTGCTAGAGGCATGTGCTAGTAGCTCGCCGGTGGTACAAGCTGGCGGGTGCAGAGGCCTGCGGAAAGCAGGTAGACCCTCGCTCGGTTCTAGCAGGAAAGGCGCCCCAGTCTCTGGAATTGGTGTTAGTTGATGGCCTGCAAAGCCGACAGGTACCGCAAGTGTGTAAGAGCAGGCGTAATGTAATGGCAGGTAGATATGGAGCCAGGCTGGACTGGTTTGGGGGCGACAAAAGGAGCAAGAAGCTTCAATAGGTTCTTATCCTCTTTGGTCCGCTGGCCGCCTCGACCCAGGCCTGGTCACACAAGAGGACAAATGGATGATGGCATGCCGTGGCCCTGGCAAACGGAGATAAGGCAAGGTGAGGTGAGGTGAGGCACGGTGAGGAAGTGAGATGTTGCCAGACGAAAGAGCAGCAGCAACTTACAGAGATGGGAAGGCTAGTCTCCCAGAGCAGACGAGAGATACCCCGGCGTTTTGTCTAGTCGGCACGCTTAGCAGCAGAGCAGGGTGGTCATCTGCATGAGGCGATGCGCGCGTGCGGGCGTTCTGGTCCTCTGTAGGGGTCCCACGACGAGATATCGTCCCTGGGATGTGTATGTACGTATGGCTGCGAGAAGGAAAAGGGAGGTAGCAGGTATGCTAGCAATCTGCTTGCTTGTCTGCTTGCCTGACTGCCCAAATGCGCAGTTCTTTATTATTAATGAAGGCCGTTATGCAGTCGAACGTGACTGATCAACTTGTGAACTGACGGATCACGTTGTGTATCGTGACAGTTCCCCACTCTTGGACGCAGGTGGACGGAATTGAGTGGCCTTACGAGGGACTGGCTGGAATAGAGTTGAAGCGAGTGTAGTCAGTCGAGAAGGGTGCAGTATACTGGACTCTGGCTGGGTGGAATCAAAGCATCGCGACCCCGGGATTCTTATATATTACCAAAACGAGAGCTCCGGTTTATGTACATACTTACACCCCAAAACCCATTGGGGCCCCCCCAGGCGTGGTGTTGCGAGGGGGGTGGGTGATGGGTGAGGGATGGATGTTTGTCTGCAGCTAACTGGGACCCGTGAGTGGTGGGGGAAGGATGGGGGCCTTGGAAGGGGGGGGGCGTGCGTGTGTGAAGGCGTGTAGCGGGCTTCGCTCATGATGTGAACTGGGGTCGAGAAGCTGTGTGTCTTGTCTTGTCTATAATCTCAGTTCAGACTCAGGTGCGTTCTCTACCTTGCATTCCTGTTTACAGTACCTGAGCGATCCGGCACTGCCGTGAATCAAACATCGTCAGCCCCTGTCGCCAGCCAAGCTGCGCAGCTACGACATAGACATCTCATTTCAGCCACGCTGATGTGTCGGATTGTCTGCGAGATCCTGCGCTATGCTTGTGTTGTGTTGTGTTTGTTGCGTCGCTTCGAGATGCCAGATGCTGCCGTATGGTTATCTGCACCCGTGCATGCATATATGTATGCACGGCATGGAGTGACCTTGATCGAAGGAAACCCAACTGATGACAGGCCAAGTACATGCCGGGTACGGGAGAAGTAGGCAGCTAGGAGCAACGATCGACAAGCGTACCGCAAGGAAAAGCCATGATGATGATATAAGGCCGCCGACGCGTAATGAGAATACGATGTGTGTAAGAATACACGTCTAGAGTACGCGTAGAAACAAACATTCATGCCCGTTGCCTTGGTTCTGCACGTCTGTCTACAACTGACCGGTACTGGCAGATGACGCATGGATGGGAGATGGCATTTCCGATGCTCATCAAGGACTAAAGTGGATTTAATCGAGTCCTACCTTACCCCATACCCAAGGCGACGCCTCGAGTACTACCTTCGCCTACGAAACAAACCCACCCCAATGGTGCAATAATTGACTATCAGACTCTGTAGGTATCAATTGTTACCGTTACTTTAGGACGGCGGCATAGGTAGGGCTTGGCGAGGGGGCACCAGCAGCTTGTGTCGCCATCCATGTCCAGCTGCGACCTACAGAGCCTCCCTATCTCTGCTCAGATAGGCGCCTCTCCTAGAGGATCGCGCTGTAGTACAGACCCCTGTGGCTCCCACGGGCCGTTGATGGCGCACCTACTAAGCGCTATCGCGCTCCATCAGTCTGGTTTGGTGCTGCCACATAACCTTTGCCACAATCAAGTCAAAGCCAGGCCACTTGGAGGAGGGTGTGCTGCAGTAAACTCGTAATTGCGTGTGCCCAGCGCCCTTGATCCGGTTGTTTGCCTCTGGTTGAGATGACCGCCTTTTCCATTGACGAAGACAGGGGCATATTATACTGTACCTCAGGTACCTACCATCGCCGTGCCATACAGGACGGGTGGTATAAATAAATCAACAGTCATTAGAAGCCACTGCAACCATCTCAATCGGGTGCACCGGCTGTCGCTCTGTTTACGAGTTTCATTCACAACCATCGTGGACACCTCTAGCAGCCACTGAACCGCGCTATCGCACAATGTCTGCCTTTGTCTGGCAGACTGCAAGGTAGTTCTTCTTCAGATGTGGCAAAGTCTGTACCTGCTGATAGCCTGCCCCGGGCGTAGGAGGTACTAGACCTCATGCTAGCAGATGCTGTACGTCCGCCCAAGCACCCTCACCTTCGCCCGCTAAGCACTGGAAAGAAGGACATCACCGGCGCCTTCCCGAGTACGTATTCTAGCACCGCGAGGGCAGGCACAAGCCGTCCAACCAACCAAGGCTGAGCTGAGCTGAGCCGGGCCCAGACGAGTTAGGCGACATCCATCATTTCGCGCGACCGAGACGATGATTCCTCATAGCGTCTTAGCACCAGCACACTACTCATCCTCACTGCATGCCAAAGGCTGCATCCGGATTGGATTTGGGGGTCGAGGAGGAACTCAGTGACTTGCATTACAACTCCCTGCAGAGCCGAATCAGTTCGTTCACTTGACCACCCATGCATGGGCGATCTTCATGTCAACACCTCCCAGTGGCACGTTCTATTCTCGTAACCCGCCAGTCTCGTATCCACGCGTCCGGGCCCAATGCAGACTGGCATCGCTATCGACCGACACGTATTGGTAAGCGCCTGAGCCGGCTGGCTGGACCCCTTCATAGCGCCCTCCCGCCTCGGCCGCCTCCAACAAGCACGGCGCAGCGGTTGTTTAGGTTGCTGGGCTCGGGTCTTGGCGAACGGGTCTCAAGCCAATCGTTGGATTTGGCAGATCTTACGGTGGTGCACGAGATGCGTGCACTGGGATGTCAAGTGCACACTATGCCGCTTTGTCTGCAAGTGTGTGTCTGGCCCCAGCGGCGTATGAGATCATCAGAGAGGCTGTTGATGCAGCCGGGTCGTCCCGCATGGACCTTGGGGGCTTGTGGGAGGGGAGGGTGAGTTCATCCTCGAGCTCCACGCCTTGATGTCTTGCTTCTCAACACCCAGCTGGTGCATTTAAAGTACGCCATGCTGCAGCCCAACATGCCTTTGTCGACACACTCGCCTGCCCAGCCGTGTACGACCCTCACCATTCAAAGTGGGGGTTTCCGGAGCAAGTGCTCAGGCGTCTTGACCTAGGTCATGTCTGGCCTCTGGATATCCGTCGAGCCCTGTCATGGCCCAATGATGGTCTATATGCTTACACTGGATATCCCAGCCCGGAAACAGCCTTCTAACTTTGTATGGCTTGGTCAAGGCAAGTCACACGGCATCCAAATGAGCCTGTCAACCATAGGAAAGCCTTCCTCTGTGGCCCGTGGCTCTACGGGAGGGACGAAACCACCTCGTAACTGTCCAATCCACGGCCTAGCTATTCTCACACACAGCACTTCCATACTTGGTAGTAAGGTATGGCACTTACACACTCACTTGATTACGTATGTGGAACATGCGCGTGAGTGCTCCTGGCTGCATGAGGTGTGGGGTGGTGGTGTGGTCCACCTCTGCTTCGACCTCAGGGTTTCTCTACGATGCACACCTCCTCCATCTCTAATCGGATCAAGAAGGGCCCGACGCAGCCCACAGGTTGTACTCTCTCGGATTTCGGCCTGGGTGCAAGACCCCTAAAAAGACCCTGGGCTGGTATGATTTGCCTTCTTCTACCTTTTGGTCTGTGGCGCTCCAAGTACACCTCGTTTTGCCTTGGAGGTTGACTCTCTCTTGCAGGCCAGGGCTCACCCGTGCATCTATCCCCACTGCTCCAAGCATCTTTCCATCAGATGGGACCGTGGATTTCTCGCCTCGAGACGTTGTGTTGCATGGATGGCCTTCTGTCCCACAACCTTGCAGTTGGTTTCCCTCCTTGCCTGCATACCTCATTATGCCGTAACGTTGTCTTACATGTTAGCGTGAGGCCTTGTACTCCCCGCAGATATTTCAGATATCGGGCTGAGATCTACGCTCCTGATATGTCGTTTTTGCTTTTTGCGGGAGTTTGCAGGTTCTTTCCTCGCCCATCTAGCCAAGTGTCTCATATCATTGGCCAAACCAGATTCTGCATTGTCTTAGAACCGCCACCTCTCCACCAGTTGATGGTGGCCTGTGACTACCATCGCACGTGGAGTATCCCCATACGCGCATACGCGGGAGAGAAAGACAGAGAAAGACATCTGTTCGTTTAAGCAAGGAACCTGCCGCTTGCTGGTGGTTTTGCCACCCACAAGGCCGGGTACTTTATTTATGCCGTCCCTCTTTCCGCGCA